TTTGGCGGATTATACTTATTGGGATTCTGGGGAATCCCTAAGAAAAAAGCAGTGGCTTAATCTATGATTTACTTTACTAGAGGGTTACTGTTGAATCAAACCTTCTTTATAGTTTTTATACACAACTCTGTTTTATTCTTTTACTTGTCAACTCGACTTAATGTCATTCTCTCTCCATAAAATAAAATGTTCATTGTTTTACTTTAATTATCGTTTATTTTAAAATTCACAACAGTTACTAGTATAGGCTTTGCTTTTTATCCCGAAATATTCTAAATCCTGGTATTTTTTAAATTATCTTTATCATCCAAAATATCAGCTATTTTTCCCTAAAAAAGGGAAAATTCCCTAAAAGTGGAAGCACTGCTTCAAAGTACGCTAACATTTTTTATTGAGTCAGAACTCTTATCTGCCATCTAGTGAGTTTATTAGTTCATTAAGGCCAAAACGTTTCAAAAATGACCTCGCCGGTTCCTAAAGATGACGCTAGTTGAATGTTCTTTTCCTTTGTATGGGAGTTGCACCCCCCTGTACATGACAAAACATTGCTTAAGTACATAGATTATACACATAATATAATTGAGACTTATGTACCTCTACATATTCACTCATTAGAACTGTCAATTGTCATATTGCGCGCCTGCCAATGAAAACAAATAATATGTTTGGAATTTTAAAGATTGGAAAGGCATTGCTAGATGTTTTGTTGAATTAAAAATTTTGATTGAATTCGAAGTACCGTACCTATATATCATAGAACACTTACCGTCCATCAGGTAACATGCTTTCCGTTTAACATTAGCCTACTTAGGTACTCACTTTTTACTTATTTACATTCTGCCGGCCACTCACATGCGCGAAAACATTCCTATATTGTACAAATGTTCGCGCCATGTGAAGGGCTGTTAAACATTCATTCGCAAACTTAGCGGCTGTGCAAATGGGTTCGGCATTCAATTTGCGAACCCGCTTGCGCTTCCTCCTACACTTGTTTAAGAATATCTCACGAATTTCTCCTCTTTTTTAATTCGTCAATAGAACATTGAAGAGAAAAAGAGTTTTCAATTCTTTCCCAGGCGTTATTAACAGCAATTGTTTTTTGGGAATTCTTTTGAGGGTCCCATATCGTCGATTCATTTTGCAGGAGTTCAATGAACTCCATCACCTTGGTGTTGTTCCAATCCATGATGAAGGTACGCTACATAGTAGACGTCACGAACTATGAAAATGGCGAAACGTCCATTACCTTTCCATTCGTGGGCACAACTGGTCACACGAATGTGTGGGAGACTACGTGAAGGATCGCGGTTCGTGCGCTTTGATGTCCGTTAAAAAACCGACACAGTTTGAAAAACCGCGAATGCAGCGAAAACTGTGCTAATCATTTGCAAATGTCGTCCTACACTTGTGGGTTGCGTATTCGTGCGAATGTGTGACCGGTATTATATGGCTCACTGACTTTGGCCCCCCTTTTTTTTATTTTCGGATAAATTTTTTTAATTATTTGTTCGGTAATGTTCGAATGTAAAAATTGTGTGTTCGTCTTTTATTTATTTATAATTAAATGAACAAATGATCACCCTTAAGTCGGCCCTCCTTACCTTATCCTTATCTTTATTTTTATCGGTCAGATTAATTAATTTTGATCAATTATCGTTTGTTCGACGACTATTGGTGATTGTTCGATCATAGAAACAATTAAATTTCCAATTATTAATTATTTTATATCTAATAAACAAACCATTACCTCACGCCTACAATGCGCATGCGCCGGTTTTGTTTGTCAGCTGGCAATGGCCGTATTTACTAGCGTTTTGTTAACAAGTGCGTTTATACTGTCTAATTATTTCTTATGTAGATCAAAAATTAAATATAAAAAACTCCGTGAGGCTGCAATTGAGTGCTAGGTGACACATACTCAGGTTTTTTTAAAATAAAATCCTGTTTATAGAGTGTATATATATATTAAGTTTATTTTTCCATGTTAAATGATTTTCTACGAAATGTCCCTGCAATATATTTCTTGAACTTATAAATAATTATCATTTCAACAAAAACAGATTTTGTGTGCATTACATTTACATTTTTTGAACTACGTAATGAATTTAGGAATCATTAATTTTATTATAAAATACAAGTATCATAACTATCCTCCTATATCCTATTGCATGGTAATGAATAATATCATTTTAAAACGAAAGTTGTACTCCTAAAATATTCTTAGAATAATTAGATATCACTGAAATTCCTATATGCTTGTTAATATTCAATATCATTAAAAATAACTGAATTTATTAAAACCGCGCTACTCGTACTTTAACGACTAATTGGCCGTCCTCATTGACATTTTTTTGTTGAAGTATTGTTGAAGTTTGTTGAAGTTGTCAGTATTTTTTTGATCTACATAAGAAATAATTAGACAGTATAAACGCACTTGTTAACAAAACTCTAGTAAATACGGCCATTGCCAGCTGACAGACAAATCCGGCGCATGCGCATTATAGGCGTGAGGTGATGGTTTGTTTATTAGATATAAAATAATTATTAATTGGGAATTTAATTGTTTTTATGATCGAACAATCACCAATAGTCATCGAACAAACGATAATTGATCAAAACTAATTAATCTGACTGATAAAAATAAAGATAAGGATAAGGTAAGGAAGGCCGACTTAAGGGTGATCATTTGTTTAATTAATTATAAATAAATAAAAGACGAACAAACAATTTTTAGATTTGAACATTAACGAAAAAACGACGAACAAATAATTAAAAATAAAAAAAAACCGAAAATCAAAAAAAGTAGGGCGAAATTCAGTGAGCCAGACAAAGCCTGTCCAACCTAAAGTGTAATGTTTGAATATTTCAATGCCGGTTGAACCTTAGTGCGTTTGCCTATAAAGGTTAGCGAATAGAGTCTAAAAAATCTTTGGTCGTAGGTATCGTGACGAATAGAGATTAGAGAACAGAAAGTGTCTATGGTGATCAAAGAAGAACGAGGTGAGCGTTTTGGATAAAAATTCTAACAAATTTGATAACTTATCTCACACAGCAAACTTGTTTAGAATAAAGATAAATTCACGGTCAAGAATTTTTTCATCAAGGGTAAGTTTATTGGCAGTTAATTTCAAACATTTACCGCAAAACTCTTAAAGTAAAGCNTAGAGATTAGAGAACAGAAAGTGTCTATGGTGATCAAAGAAGAACGAGGTGAGCGTTTTGGATAAAAATTCTAACAAATTTGATAACTTATCTCACACAGCAAACTTGTTTAGAATAAAGATAAATTCACGGTCAAGAATTTTTTCATCAAGGGTAAGTTTATTGGCAGTTAATTTCAAACATTTACCGCAAAACTCTTAAAGTAAAGCGACATATTTTTGATGAGTCGACTCGTATGTCATATCACATCCGCTACGAAGAACGTTTCAGTTAACTGTTACTTTACAAACAACTGTCTTATTGATAGCGTAAGAATTAAGAAGTTCAGCAGGTGGTTATAGTTATATGAGTATTTAAAAGATAGACTCACTGTATCATAATACCACGACCTATTTTTAGATCAGCTTTCTTTTCCGAATGTATTCGAGGCGCATTGATGTTTGCTTGCAGCCGGTCTTTTAGCGATTTATCTAATGTTAAACAATCCCAACCTTTTGTTTCAGGCTGATACATAGTAAAAATGGCTGTAAATGTGTATTCTACGAACGTTACGTCAGAAAATCTATCGCGGCATGATATGCTAGCGTGGGTGAATGATTGTCTCCAGTCAAACTTTGCAAAGATCGAAGAGTTGTGTACAGGTGCCGCCTATTGCCAGTTCATGGACATGCTGTTCCCTGGCAGTGTACCAATGAAAAGAATCAAATTTAAGACAAATTTGGAACATGAATATATACAGAACTTTAAAATATTACAAGCTGGTTTTAAAAAGATGGGTGTGGACAAGGTATTGCTTTTTGTAAATATAATTCTAATCTGATTAGTCATAAGTTTTAAATTCTCATTTAAAGAGACTTGATACACAATTAAAGTAATATCAGAAAGAAAACTGAATGTTTATCAATAATGTGTTGAATCAGTAGGTATTTATGTTTACAGGAAATGGCTTAAAGAAAGATACTTATTTAAATAAATTACCATACTATTACTACCAATGGTAGGACTGTAAGCCCAAATGGGTAAGTATCGTCACCTTGCCTATTTCTGCTCTGAAACAGTAATGCCTTCTGGCTTGAAGGGTGAGACTATTCTAAGTATAATTGAGGCTTTGACCTCATATTTCGAGATGGCTGACAATGTTCACATTGTGATCTTTAAAGGCTAAGTACCCATTTTACACCAATGAGCTTGCTTACTCTTCGATATAATAAATTCAATCATTGGTAAAAATTATCAATATCTGTTATGTTGCCATTTAACTAAATAAATATGTAATTTTATAGGTAATACCAGTAGACAAGCTGATTAAAGGCAGATTTCAGGACAACTTTGAATTTTTACAATGGTTTAAAAAATTTTTTGATGCTAACTATGATGGTCGGGATTACTATGCTTTTGAGGCTCGCTGCGGTATCCCACTAGGTTCTGGCATTTGTGACCCGGGTGTTCCATTATGTGGCATCATGCAGCCTCCACCAACGAGAGCACGCCGACCAGCGCCCATACAGCATTCGGGCAGTATGCATCTATATAGAATACCTTCAAGCACACAACTCACACACCACACTCAGAAATGATACCTGTGATAAAAAAAAATATAACAATTAATTCAATTTTAATGAAACATTTTTGAGAGTGGTGCTTGAACTTTAAACATAAGGTCCTAATTGCAGGTATCGTATCCCGCACTTGTAGACCTATTGTTTCATTTTATTTTATCCTTCACTTTTTTCTTTTGTAGATAGTACCCATTGACAAACTGGTGAAGGGTCGTTTCCAAGATAATTTTGAGTTTTTGCAATGGTTCAAGAAATTCTTTGACGCCAACTATGGAGGTGCGGCATATGACGCAGTGGCGCAGCGAGAAGGTCTGCCCATGGGGCACGGGGGCTCGGCCGCCCCGAGGGCCGCTGCCGCTAAGAAACCCGTCGCCCCTGTCGCCAAAGTCGCAGCTAGACCCCAAACCAGTACTATTTTATTTTCATTTAATGAGTGACCTAACTATTCCTTATTTTGCTGTTATAAAATATGATTCATTACAAATTTCTAGTATTTACTTATATTTCAATTTATCAGAACCATTGCACCTAATTAATGATTAGTATTCCCTGTTACTTAGTGTTGAGTTTTGTATAAATATACATAGTTTATCTTTAACTACTTATGAGATATAACTTTAACTACTACAACATATATGTCATACAAATCATTATAAGGAAATATATAATGTTATTTAAACTGCACCTGCACATTAGTTACACATATTTACACAGCATGCTTTGCATTACATTTACATGTAAATATATTTTTTTCTTCTTACAATTGTAATTATGTACATTCTATATTATTCTTAAGTAATTAATGTGTAATTTGCATAGTACTGTAACTGAAATTTTGCATAAAAATTTACACTAACACTTGAAATATACTGAATGCTCGAATCCAAGCAATATTTTAAAATAAATTAATTCTATCTTTTTTAGTTGGGAAAGCTAATACAACAGTCAGATCTCCACCAGTTAATTTGTCACGGATAAGTCAAAGTGCCAAGGGTGATTCGAAAGTTGTGGATGAATTAAACCATCAGGTAAATATAGAAGTCAAATGCGATTAATTCAAGATAATTCCAATGGAAACATGGATACAGTTTTAATTAAATTTTCTCAGATAAACGAATTGAAAGCCACAGTCGATGGATTAGAAAAAGAGAGAGACTTCTACTTCGGTAAGCTTCGGGATATAGAGGTGATCTGTCAAGAGATGGAAGAACAACACAATGCTCCTATAGTGCAAAAGATTCTTGATATTTTATATGCCACTGAGGTAAGTATTTACTACATACATTTTTGATAACAACAAGAACTTACACAGGAATGTTGTATTAAAAAAAAGCACTATTCTGTTCATAGTCACTAGTCTGGGCCTTTGACTTTAATCAGATTTTCTCTCTATATCCTATTATATGAACATTCATTTTATAAGAATCTGAAGTATAGGATTCATTTCAAGGATTTGTTTTTTAAAGTCTCCTTTTTTATTTAAGATATTTTACGGCATCAAATATGACAAGTTTATGCACATTTATATATTAATAAATATAATTATATACTATATACATAATCAAATCAAGAGGTGGTCAAGAACTAATTTACAAAATCTGAGCTGTGCTCTGCTAAATTTAACTATCTTCTTCATTGTTATAATGTGGAAACAATTTTATGTTTTGTTGTAAATATGGGAGGTACTGAAACATCAATTATCTTCTCACTGTACTGTTGATTTCTCGCGCCAATCGCCTGTATCCATGCAAGTGGCACTTCGACAACAACTTTACGAAGCTCAGTATAAATATAAAATGTAGCACAAGACAGTAAACTATACAAAGCCCCAAAACAGCACAGCCACTGATTTTAATTCAATTATTAATAAATTCTAATTATCTTATACTTAAAGTCGTCGTGGCCTAAAAGATAAGACGTCCGGTGCATTCGTGTTGAAGCGATGCATCGGTATTCGAATCCCGAAGTGGGTACCAATTTTTCTAATGAAATACGTACTCAACAAATGTTCACGATTGACTTCCACGGTGAAGGAATAACATCGTGTAATAAAAATCAAACCCGCAAAAATTTTAATTTGCGTAATTACAGGTGGTAGGACCTCTTGTGAGTCCGCGCGGGTAGGTACCATCACTCTGTCTATTTCTGCCGTAAAGCAGTAATGCGTTTCGGTTTGAAGGGTAACTATACTTGAGACCTTAGAATGGCTTAGAACTTACATCTCAAGGTGGGTCGCGCATTTACTTTGTATATGTCTATGTGCTCCAGTAACCACTTAACACCAGGTGGGCTGTGAGCTCGTTCACCCATCTAAGCAATAAAAAATAAAAATATATACTAAATAAAATTTGCATGTTTAAAACAACTTATATGAGTTAGGCTTGTCGTACTAATTCTTTATGATATAATTTACAGGATAATACAAATTTGATTTCACTACTATAGTAGGCAGCAGCTTGGTTGTGCTCTTGGAATTTAAGCCAATGCTAAATTCTTGGAACATTAAACATTATTTTAGGAAATATGAAATATAAAAAATTATTAGTTTTTGTTTCTATTCTTAATTTGAATCCAGCCTGTTATTTTCCAGGACGGTTTTGCGCCTCCCGAGGAAATAGACGGCGACAACCCTCACCCGCCAGAAGAGGACGAATATTGAAACAAGACAATACGACATCAACGCGTATCATAGTGCTCTTGTATATTATATCAAACGAAATTATATCGCTTAACAATCATTGACAATATTGAGTGCTTAGTATTTCACAGCCAACGAGTCGTAACATACTAGGTCGGTCCATTGACACATTGACCTTTAGCTTTTCTTGTGTATTAAATTTTAACACGTTTGTTAATTCTAGTATGTTTATAATTAACTTGTCAAAACGACTGTCTATATTTGGATGGTCGCGGATATGTTATACATTTTCCTTATGTATTATAACATTTTTGAATTATGTAACGTGTTAAAATTTAATTTAACATATATAAAATATTATTTTCATCTGTAATTTCCTTCTCTGATTTTTGCACAAAAGTAATTTATCATCCATATGTTTATTTTATAGGAATTTTTAGACCTACAATTATTGAAATAGCTTAATAATGACTAGCGGTATTGTAAAAGTTAGTCTTTCAAGTAACAATAATTTATGTAGGTTCCGTAGGTAGATGAGTAATAATAACATTGTATCGTGCATGTAAATCTATGTTGTATTTTCGCATGGCTGTGTCATACCTAAGTGCATACCGAATAAATTATTTGGGGGCGACATTTCTCGACTGAATTTCTAATTTCGTGTGTATTTTCGGAGGTTTGAAGTATAAATGAATGGCGTTGAGGTTTCGCGTTTGAGATTGAGTAATGTGCAATGAACCGCGAAATGAGATGCTTTTTCTCGTATCTACTACATTTCTGGGCCACTATTGCCTAAATAATGTGCATTTAATAGTTTGTTAATTATTGGAAGAGATTTACTGTTACTTGTTCAGTTCTGTTAATAAATAACAAAGTTAGCCAAAATTAAATGTTACAATATTATCTCGTATTATTATGGTTTGTAATTAGATCTGAAATTCTTAGTTTTCATGGAAATTTATTTTGTTCTCTGCAATTTGAATAACCATGCTAGTAAATCGTTACATACTTATTTTTCGTTTTAATACTAACATTAGTTATACGTAAGGTATACTAATAAATAATAATTTAGTATATTTTATTGGTAAAGCATCTTAAAAGCGGGACACTAACGACTTGTTGGCGGAAGATGTTCGCTGGTTAAGATAAAGATAGATAATTTATTTACTTCAGCATTCGTAAATTGCCTTAACTTCAGATATATTAATTGCGTCTGATTTTCAGATTGTGAATGTCTTATCGAATAAATAACTTTTATTGACANTAATAAATAATAATTTAGTATATTTTATTGGTAAAGCATCTTAAAAGCGGGACACTAACGACTTGTTGGCGGAAGATGTTCGCTGGTTAAGATAAAGATAGATAATTTATTTACTTCAGCATTCGTAAATTGCCTTAACTTCAGATATATTAATTGCGTCTGATTTTCAGATTGTGAATGTCTTATCGAATAAATAACTTTTATTGACAGTTTGTTTTTATTATTTCAGATTAGTAAATAAATATATTAATTGCAGCATTTGGCCAAAATTATCTCTACCTATTCATGCAATAACAATTCACTACAAGTTGCTCTCCCAACCCTAGCCCTAAAGATTCTCATATCGGCATTGTAGTAACATGAAGGGTGAACGAGCTTACAGTCACGACCTATCATCATTTATTAATTGGATACCGTAAACAGGCATTACATGTGGACGCCAGCACCTACTTCGAGACACGACGCGTAAGTCTCCTTTGTATAGGTTAAGAGCTGTTCCAACTCTTCAAATCTTTCATTACGGTTTTTATTGATGTTGCTTCACAGTGAAAGTCATCGTGAAGATGTGTGACTACGTAGGTATATTATTATTTCACTAGAAAACTTTGTATCTCTGCAGTATTTCGACACTTCTTCATAGCTTATTCAGAACGCTTGCAAGTACACATTCCCGATCCTGCGGAAAGAATGGAAAGCAGTCGACGTCGCCCCAAACACGTCATTTCGGATCCTCCCGATCCACTAACGGTGCTTTTAGGTACCTCAAGCACCGGTCATCGTTTTCGTCGAACCCGTCGCTGGCGACGAAGGGCTCGACGACTAAATTAACCTTCAGACACAGCCCACTGAGTTTCTCGCCGGAACTTCTCAGTGGGTCGCGTTTCCGATCCGGTGGTAGATTCTGCGAAGCACGGCTCTTGCTAGGGTTCGTGTTAGCAACGTCGTCAGGTTTGAGCCCCGTGAGCTCACCGAATAGTTAAGATTCCGCTGATATAGCCTCTCAAGGATATCAGCTTAGGTAGGAAAAAAAAAATACAAGTACACCTTCGATCTGATTATATACAGGGTGTATCAAAAGAAAGTTTACATTTGTTTTGGATAATGCGTGAACGCAACTATTCTGAGGGGCGCGGGGGGTGTCAATCGGTAACCTGGCCAGAGGTCAAATTTTTCCTGGTGAATTGATCTCCAGGAGACGTGACATAAGTTGACCTCCTTGCAGTCCCGATTTGACACCTATGGACTTTTTTCTGTGGGGTTATGTCAAATCCAAAGTTTACGCCAACAAATCGACTTTCCAGGCACAATTAAAAGAAAATATCCGTCACTAAAGCGCAGCCATCACGAAGAACACCTGCCGAGCCGTCATAGGCAATTTTAGTGCTCGATTAAACGAATGCCGTGAACGGAACGGTTTACATTAGGACGATGTAATTTTTAAAAAATAAATTCCTAAACAGTGTATCTTAATATGTAATAAACATTTTTTCAATAAACTCCTTACTTTTTTATAAATTATAGTTTTAAATATGACATTTCTTTTGAGATACCTTGTATATCAGGATACAAATTACAATATTTTTTTGCTTTATCTATGTACTGCTTAATTTGTTGTTTCTTATTCTTAAACACTTTTTTTAAACGAGTGATGTATGATGCTTAATGGTATTTCCAACGGTATTTACAATTTTCGCAATCGAGAATATTTAAACACTAGATTTACGCCCATAACTTATCATCATCATTCTCCTCCCCTTCTCCCAGTCACCTGGGGTCGGCGCAACATATTTTCTCCTTTTAAGTATGGAAGGAGAATAAATCCTCTATCCTATAGCATTTCTTCTTAGATCTATCTCTTCCTCCATAAATTATAATGCACTTAATATTATAAGATATACAAGGAGATACAACCAATTAAGTCTTATCTATGACCACCACATTGAAACAATTGTCACAATCACCGTTTTTTTTTAAATAGAGTCCTGTTTATATAATAAGCTTTAGGATATTACTACGTTTATGGACACTCGAATCCGACAATGACTTCCATATCATTCACTGCTTCGGTGCAGCCCAGTTCCTACCGACCGGCTGGGCTTCAGGTGTTCGATTACCTGCCGACTTAGCGAATGTAATTTCCCATTCATGATTGTCAACGGCCGACTCCATGACGACGAAAATTGAAGTATTCGATACGTCGCGGCGTCGCAAGATGTTATAAGAAAATAAAAAAACGTGAGATGAAACCATACAAGTAGTTTTTAATATGTCTACGACTCGCGAAAATCGAAGAAAATATTATGACAGACACATAGTTGACAAGGAATAAAATTTAAGTTACAGTTATGTACATTTATATTTAATATTTCATTTTATTATATTAACACCTAAATTAAATCAGGCATACACAATAATTTCAGAATTTTACATTTTTAAATAAGAACTTATTAATTAAAGAATGACAATGTGGAAATGTAATCTTAATTGTAACTACAATAGTATCCCTCCAAAACCCTATTTAAGTTACTTTGCGAGTGGAGATTATTAAGTCATATTATTATCATCATATCTAGTCCTGTTTTGGAGCAGTTGTACATTCCGGCCTGAAGGATAGAACTGATATTGGCCAATACATTCTAATTTATATGAATAGTGCCCGTAGATAATGGTAACTGCATAACATCATATGAGGTGCAAAGTGGTAAATATTCAGTTTGTTATTAAACTGATATAAATTTTTCTTGGCTTTCTTTACTGATTCTTTCTTAAAAAACATTATGAACACATAAACAATATAACTTAATTAAAATATAAAAAAATATTGAAATAGCTTTTAATTCATATAAATTAATTTCTCCAAGCAGGTAAACAAGTATGTTTAATACCGAAAATATTTCATACATATGCTTAAATTTTATGTCTATTATTATTATTATTGATTTGTCTCCTTGTCCTATTATTATTTTTAATGATTGGGCTTGAATTTGATAAATTACTTCTTGATCTTAAACTCCTGTCATGTTTTACCGGTACAATTTCTATATTCACCTTATTATTTCTTAACTTATTTTTTACCTGAAAACTTACATCAACCTTTGACATAGAATCCTTTTTTAAAATTTGTGTGTTAGAAACTTTGACTGGCTCCTGTATACTATTCTTTTTTGATTNATTTTTAATGATTGGGCTTGAATTTGATAAATTACTTCTTGATCTTAAACTCCTGTCATGTTTTACCGGTACAATTTCTATATTCACCTTATTATTTCTTAACTTATTTTTTACCTGAAAACTTACATCAACCTTTGACATAGAATCCTTTTTTAAAATTTGTGTGTTAGAAACTTTGACTGGCTCCTGTATACTATTCTTTTTTGATTTGTTATTTTTCATTTCTATAGCCCCATTCTTCAGGTTTATATTCTTTCTGGAGAGTATAACTTCTTTTTTTAGTTTTTCTGCTTTGGGGCTTTTACTGGTCTTCTGTGGGGTGACCCTTTTATTTCTATTAATTTTTGTGGTTTTTACAGCATTTTTTGGAGTTATAGCCTTTCTTGTAACTCTTTTTGATGAAATATCATTTTCTCCTGAACTTGTTTTGATCCTCTTTGCTGTATTTTTTGGAGGCGTTGGACATCCTCGTTTTACTTTTATATTAGATTTATTTGTAGTATTCAGATTATTTTCAGCAATTAAAATAGACGCCTTCAAATCAGTTTGGGGTTTCTGTTTCTGTTGTTTTGTTGGTTCCTTTTTTTTACTATTTGTGGTGTTGGTTTCTTTGGAATCTAGATTTTTTTTGGATGTGGGCTCTCTATGTGATCTTACCCGAAAATTTTTAATATTAAGCTTCTGCATATTCATTTTAGTATTGTTTTGAATAGTATTGTTGACCTCTGGAGTTGGAGTACTATTTTCCTTGTCATTTCCATGAACATTAGTAATATTATTTGTTCTATTTGGGGTGGCTAAAACAAAATAATGATTTAATAAAAAAAAATTATTAACTTTATAGACAGACGAGTATACGCCCCTCCCCCCTCCAATGGACACAGCCCACTGAGTTTCTCGCCGGATCTTCTCAGTGGGTCGCGTTTCCGATCTGGTGGTAGATGCTGCGAAGCACTGCTCTTGCTAGGGTCAGTGTTAGCAACACTCCGGTTTGAGCCCCGTGAGCTCACGTACACACGTTAGGGTGAAGCTGAAATAGCCTTTCAAGGCTATCAGCATAGGTAGGAAAAAAAAAAAAAAAACGGCCCACCTGATGGAAGTGGTCACCGCCGCTCGTGGACGTCAGCGATGCCAGGGGCAGAGCCAAGCCGCTGCCTACCATTAAGTGCTCTCCGCAAGCCTCGTTTGAAGTAGGACATATCATAGCGCTCAATATTTCGCATTCAATTAATTTTACAATTATCTAATAAGTTATGCTTACCTAGCTTATCAATGCTTGCATAATATGTGGTCTTTTTTGGTACCATGAAAGACTCCACATCACTTTCAATATCTGTATCCCAAAACGACTTAACACATGATTTGATATTACTGTTTATTGTATCTGGAAACCCTGAAACATGCAAACATTTCTTATAATTAAGACCAAATACATATTATAAAATTTTATTAATGTATCTGAAATGTAACAAACCATTCTTATTTATTTCTGTTTTATTTAAATAATTCCCTGTCGGCTTCTGTAAAAGTTCCTTTGCTGGAGGTCTAACATTTTCTAAAACAACTTTACAGGTTTTTAGGTTACATTTATCTATACATTTCTTCTTTGTATTTGCTCTATTTTCTGTATTGTTTTGAGTATTTTTAGTTTTATTACTTTCATTATTTTTATTTTTAGCAGCAAGGGTATTTGTACTTTTATCAATTTTTATAGTTTTATTTTTATTAGGACCTTCCAAAAATATTTCTTCATCTGTGAAAGTATCACTAACACTTTCATTGTTACATGCAGATATTACTGATGTAACATCCCATTTGTCTTCTGGTTCATTTATACTCCTTTTGTTTTGTAATTTTGTTCTATTTGTTTGTGAAGTAAGATTCATTTTGTCAGCAGGAACGATTTTATGTATGAGATCTAAGAAGTTATTGTCATCACCCAACATGTCTGTATTTAAACAAGATTGAGAAGTAACTAGTTTTCTAATTTTATTCTTTTCTTTTTGTATTGTATCATAATCATTTTGAGGACTGTTAATCGAGTTATCAGAATTATTTTTATTACTATCAGGTACATCAAATTTCTGTGTAAATAGTTTTCGTTTAATGAAACTTGGTTTACTAGATATGTCACTAAAACAAGTCTGTGCTGTATCATTAAATTTATCTTGAACTCTTTCCTGAGTTCTCTCGGGTGACCCTGCGTCACACAGTTCATTGACTGGCAAAGAATTAATCTCTGAAGCAGGTGCTGATTTTGCAATAACTTTTTCTTTTAAACTATTAGCTGATTTTCTAACTGGAAATATAGGTTTGGCAAAATTAAAATCGTCTGTTTTACTGTTTGTTTCAGACACCTTTGTGAAAACCTCACCATCGATCTTTTTTACAGGAGAATTCTTACATCTCTTTTTATTTGGAGTTTGCACAGTTTCTGTCATTAAATTCCTTTTTCTGTTAGTTTGTTTTTGAACCACATTCTCCTTTACTGTTCTTGAAAAAATTTCTTCATGTTCACTATCTGTTGTTTGGCTAATATTATTAACTGGGTTTCTATGGCTCCTTACAATAGATTTTGGATAATTTACATTGTTTTGACTCTTTTTGCCTGAGCATTCCGGTATTGTTGCTGATGCTAGAGAATTGTTAAATCTTTGAGAGGGTAATAGGAACCCATTTTTGAAACGATCCTTTTGTAATAAAGGAGCTTGCATAGATTTATTTCTGTTAGCAGCTAGTGTTATAGGGTCAACAGTAAACATATTTCTAAAAGTTTTCTGTTTAAAATTTGCTGAACAATCTTTGTAAATGTTGCCCTCCTCAATAGTTTTCTTTATATGAGTAACATCTGTTTTAGTTGATCTACAACTTGATAAATTTTCCTTATAGAAACAGTTTCTCATGGAACTACATTCATCATTACTTAAAGAAGAGTCGCTACCTTGCTCTCCAGATTCACCGCCTGATCCCTTTCTGGTACCTTTAAGAAATAATCTTAAATGGCGCCTTTTCTCAAACTTTTTTCTGATGCGTCTTTTCATATATTTTTTGTAAGCCTCTGTTATCACCTTTAGATCACTTTTTGAAAATTCTCCATTTTTAAAAGCCATTGCTATGTCTGCAGCACTTACACTTGCACAAGATGCTACACTCATAGACATAGGGCTTCCACTTCTTCCATTAAGCAAAGATCGTTGAGAGCTCATAGCACGATGATAGAAGGGGCGATTAAAGTTTCTTGGCAACATTTCACTTCTCATTGAAACGGGTGAGGTTTCTCTCTGAGAGTACATATTCCTGTGATCATAAGCAGACTCGGTATATCGATATTGATCAAAATTTCTAGATATTTGCATTGATGTCATCATTTTATTGCGTAAACTTAAGCTCGTCATGTTTGAAATATCAGGTCCTTTTGCACAGACCGTCTGAAACAGTGAAGTTTTATATTAAAACCTAGAACTCACATATAAGTCCAATTCAATATAATGCAATCATATATCCTATGGCTTCCGAGTAACTCACTCTTTGAATTTGAATTCAATTCAAAGTAAATCATTTCACTGTTTGTTTCACTCACCGTGTTTCTGTTTTGAAAAGTATAAACATTGTTTGATAATGCTACGCTATCACTGTCAGTATCACTCATTTTTAGTTGTTCCAATTTGTCATCACACAAGAATGTTCACATAACTTCGGTATTATGGTAAGAAACTTTTGTCAAATCACGATTATGGTTATGCACTACATTTCAATTACTACGTTGTTTATCAACTCATTACAAAATTAAATTCACATTCCCCAAAATATTCAAATAACGGATTTCGTTTGACGCGTAACGCCTAGTTCTCAAATATTGTGTATAGTCTATAGTCTATGGTTTAGTTATAAGTTGACGCATGAGTGATTGGTAGCACTGTTTTTTTAGTTTCCATAGTCAATATTACTCTTCTTCAATCTTCATCTCATTTAGAGTTTAAAGACTTTAAAGTGCTTTTAGTCTTCACATTTAAATGTGATTCTCAGTTTATTTTGTAATCTATCAATAAATTTTTTGTTAAGTTACTATATTTTATACGGGGTGAATTAAAATTTCAAACTTTTAAACTTCTTACAATGTTTTAGTTGGCTTTTTATTTTATTTTTGAGCTTAAAATAAGTACTGCATTTACGCATTTTCGAATTTACAATACTAGTTTAAAATATTTACATTTAAATAATTTGCCAAATGACAAAATTAAATGTAATGACGACATTGATAATATTAAACATCTGATCTTTCACAAATTCATGATACTTATTTCCTCGCTTTCCCACCAAAGTCACTGTAAAAGTCTCAATATATGACCACCACTTTACTGAAACTTTATTTCATTCATCTCGTTTCATTTAATTTCATTCCAAAGTCTCAAATTAATCAACTTCTCAATTCGCTTCAAATCATATGTCATAAAACAGAATGTAAGAAATAAGACTTGCTTTAAAATAAATGTTTTATGGTGGAAAGATCAAACTCCAAATCAACCCTCCCCTTTTCTCATCTGGGATTGGGACCGGCATTGGCAGAGACCAGCCAGGTCATAAAACCTTTTAAAAAAAAAACTACATAGTCTCTGGTAGTATCTGTTTATAACCTTACTTTTGATATAAACATGGTACTGTACACATAAATATAAATTACGAATATTTAACAACTTCTCTCAGGTATTTTCAATGAAATTGTAAATTAAGCATGTCTCCAGGAACAAGATTATTTGTTAGTAATATTCCCGAAAACACAAGTGAAGATGAGTTACGATGTGCATTTTATAAATTTGGTAAAGTGAACAGTTTAGATTTAAAGTGCAAAAGCTCTTTAGAAGAGAACAAAACTTTCGCTTTTATAACTCTAAGTGCTTCAAACTACGATATTGAGTCATGTATGTATTTAATTTCTAAATTAATTCAAACAAAATTTTAATTATGATATTTTGATTTTGAAATTATGATAGTTATGGGTTTTTTAATTTTTTTGTATTGCATAGATGGGTGGACGAACTCACAGCCCAACTGGTGTTAGTGGTTGCCGGAGTCCACAGACATCTACAACCTAAATGCGCCACCCACCGTGAAATATAAGTTCTAAGATATCAAATATAGTTACAACGGCTGCCCCACCCTTCAAACCGAAATGCATTGCTGCTTCACGGCAGAAATAGGCAGGGTGGTGGTACGTGCGGACTCATAAGAGGTCCTACCACCAGTAATTACGCAAATTATAATTTTGCGGGTTTGCTTTTTATTACATGTTGTTATTCCTTTACTGTGGAAGTCAATCGTGAACATTTATTAAATACGTATTTCATTAGAAAATTTGATACCCGCCTGTGGGACTCGAACACCTGTGCAACGCAAGATACAAATGCACCAGAGGTCTTATCCTTAGGCCACGACAACTGTATTATAATTTTAATTTTAAGGTATAAAATGTTTTACATCTGAGGAGTTTAAGGGCAGCAGATTGTATGTAACTAGAGCTCGTGAAAGTTTTCTTGAAAGACTACAAAGAGAAAGGAATGAAGCACAAAGAAAGGAAACAGAAAAGGTACATTTCAGACTATCACTCGCAGCCATTACATTTTTTTGATTTCAGAAAATCTTCTAAGATTATCTCTGACTTTCTTTTGACGAAGAAATATGGTGGTGATTTTCCTTAAGCTACTGCTACAATTTTTTTATCATTTGTATTTTCTCAATTGTCATCTGTATCTAATTATCCTATTTGAATTGCCTAATAATTATTCACAGTGTCAATAACTGTCCACAAAGCCCATATACGTTAGTCCTGATGACCAGTCTGTATCTATTTCGAAGTAGTCAGACCTAGCGTGGGCAGTGGCTTTCTAGTCTAGTAAACTTATAGGCGTAGTTAATGCATTAATTAATTAGTGTATTAATCAATTAATACTTCCACAGTGAAGGAATAACATTGTGTAATAAAAATCAAACCCACAAAATTGTAATTTGTGTAATTAGTGGTGATAGGACCTCTTGCGAGTTAGCGCAGGTAGGTACCACCACCTTGCCTATTTTTGCCGTGAAGCAGTAATGCGTTTTGGTTTCAAGGGTGGGGCAACCATTGTAACTATACTGAGACTTTAGAACTTATATCTCAAGGTGGGCTGTGGCATTTACATTGTAGATGTCTATGGGCTTTTTTTTTTTTTTTTTCCTGGCCGAGGGTCGAACCTCCTACGAGGTCCCCGCGCCTAGGGGGCGCGCAGGGTATGTGAGACTCAACGATCTGCAGGTGTTGAGAGCAGACCGCGGGCCCAAGGAATTTAGGGCCCACCCACTAAACGACTCCCCTGCACTCTTACACCCGGCGACCGATCTCCGGCCGGGGTCAAAACCCGGTCAGAGTAGGGGGGTTCCCGCGGTCAACACTACAACCAGACACGCGGCGGCACCCCGAGGACGCCCGACCGACCGGTCGTCGAGGCGATAGTCGACGACCAACGACGTCAGTCTCTGCGGTACGGCGGCCTATGTCTATGGGCTCCAATAACTACTTAACGCCAAGTGGGCTGTCAGCCCGTCCACCCACATGTGCAATAAAAAATAATAATTTGTGGTTATGAAATAACATCTATAAAAATTAATTTCTAATAAATCTAATAGGCAGGATTTAATTGTTGTAATATTATTTATTTGTGTTTAATGATTATATGTTTGTATTTCCTTTCCAAAAATAATACCCGTCTTTGTGAATCTCACTCCATATAGTCAAATACTCTAGACATGTAGTATTTTTCACAAGCTCTTCAGTAACACTCGTCAACCCACCTAAGCAATAAAAAAAATTAAAAAGTATTGCTAAAATGGTATTTTTCTTATGAAACGAAAATATTTTTAGGAACAGCAGCATGAGACTATACCCAACCAAAATCCAATCATTAATTTGAGTGAAAAATTGAATCCAAGAAAGAGAAAATTTGAAAGTCATGTAGTCAACACATACTCGGATACAGTAAGTCTTAATCACAAATTGGCTTTCATATGAAAACTGTGATCGCGATTGTCCATGTAGATTGCGGCAGTCACTTGAAAGAGCGTTTTTTAATTAAACCATATAACAACTAGTACATTATGATTCATTAAGCTAATGTTGCTACTACATGTAGAGTACAACTGTGATTAGTGTGATTTTATAATATTAGAATTTACCAGGACATTGCTAGTCATAGTTTTTGGGAGCAGTTTTTTATTTAAACTACATACTTATGCTTTCAGTAATGTGATTGCTATTCAAATGAGCTTTTAAAACATTTTACAACTTACAGGGAATAAATTTAATTAAAAAACATACACATTTAAATTAAATGTACATGTCGCATCTTTAGAATTGAAGTGGTGATTAGATTGTGATTAGAAGTGGCTTTATCCAAATTTTGGATTTTTTGGGAAACCCCATAAATATAATTGGAGAATTCTCAGATTTGATTTTTAATACTTTAAGCCGTAAAGCGCCTTACATAAAGTTTAAAGTATGCGCTTGATTTAAAACAGATGGAAAGTGTACCTACTTTGTTCTTATCTAAAAATTTTAATTTATTAACTGATATATTTACATAATACATAAGTCATTCAGAGTATAAAACTAATTTTCTTAAAATTTTTAGTTAAGCCGCTTCATTTCTGAAGGTGCGATGTATGTAAAAATAATTTAATAAATATTGCAATTATATTAGCAACACTAAATATAAAAATTACAGGAAAAGAAGCGGTTGGAAGCCATGAAGCAGAAAAGGCAAGAGTTTAAGCAAAAACAAATGATAATCAAAACTGGGCTTTCTGCAGTGGTAGGTTAATCACTAATTTAAGTATAAACCTCTATAAATTATCTTAAATAATTTACTCAAATCTGATCACATACTGTTTAGAAGATTGAGTGAATGTTATAAATCTGAGTTCCAATTTTATGGTTTTCATGAAATATTCATTAATTTTATTTTCGTTTTAACTCTTTTTTAAACAGGATAAACTACCAAACAAAAAAGTGAAATTTTCCGATGAAGATAGTTCTATTTTGGTTAATGATTTTGAAGATGGAAAAACACATGAAAAAAAGTTGGGACACCCACCTGAAAATAAAAATTATTTGTTTGATGATGAAGATGATGATGATGCTGATGGTCAGGAGCATATCAACTTTGAAATAAAAAAACAGTTTGAAGGAAAAAGAGGACAAATGGTAATATTGAGCTTTAAAATTCATTTTCAATTCTATCTAAATTGAATGTTTTACTGTGAATTTCATTTATTTTCTGTATAGTTTAAAAATATAACTTTTTTAGGTTCTGGATCTACAATCAAGATACAAATCAGATAAACGTTTCACATTAGATGAGAGATTTGTTGATGACGAAACGATTGGTGACAAAACTAAAGATGAAGAAGTGGAATTATCACAAGTTGACGAGAAAACAAAGCAGTTGAACATTTTACAAAATGTCCTTGGTGTTACTCTTAAAAGTAAAGAACCTGAACAAGACAGTCAGAAAACAAAGTGAGTATTGTCTGTAAATTTACCAAAACCATAAAAAATTATTACAGTAAAATTAATACTTACAAATATGGCTTAAAGTGGCAAGAACAGATACTCTTTGTTGCATGATATTGCTTAACGAGGGCACGCACTTAATATAAAATAATATTAAGTGATTACCCGACATTTTAAGATGACATTTGAAATCGTCGTGGCCTAAAGGATAAGACGTCCGGTGCAATCGTGTTGAGCGATGCTACGGTGTTCGAATCCCGCAGGCGGGTACCAATTTTACTAATGAAATACGTACTCAACAAATGTTCACGATTGACTTGCACGGTGAAGGAATAACGTCGTATAATAAAAATCAAACCCGCAACAAATATAATTTGCGTAATTACTGCTGGTAGGACCTCTCGGGGGTCAGCGCGGGTAGGTACCACCACCCTGCCTATTTCTGTCGTGAAGCAGTAATTCGTTTCGGTTTGAAGCGTGGGGCAGCCGTTGTAACTATATTGAGGTCTTAGAACTTATATCTCAAGGTGGGTGGCGCATTTACGTTGTAGATGTCTAGGGCTCCAGTAACCACTTAACACCCGGTGGGCTATGAAATCGTCCACCCATCTAGGCTATAAAAAACAATAATTAAGATGACATCATGCCATCTTAAATAAGGTGAAAGTATAAATTGTCATTGTCATTTCCCATTGTTTACATACAATTTTTTTTAATTTTTTTATTATTGCTTAGATGGTGGACGAGCTCGCAGCCCACCTGGTGTTATGTGGTTACTGGAGCCCATAGACATCTACTACGTAAATGCACCACCCACCAAAAATCATACAACTGCTTCAATAGAAATAAAAATAGGTTGGACGATTCCTTACCTTTGCTGACGCAAAATAAGTTTGGCAGCAGCATACAATATAGGTACTCAAGCCTAGTCGGGATAAGATATCTTTTAGCCTACAATTCTTCTCGTATTAATGACTAATTTATTTCAGGCCAAAATTAGGAATGTTGAGATTTGATCCTCATCAACCAAGTCACGCAAAATTTTTAATGCAGCAAGCCGAAGATGTAAAAACTGAACCAGTGAATAAAAAAAAAAAGAAAAAAGACAAGCTGAATGAGAATCAAAATAAACAAGAACATTTAGAACAATCACAAGAGAACAAGATAGAAGTGTCCAAGGAAACCTTCTATAAAGTCAGCGAAACACTGAAAGAGACTATTGCACAACCTAAAACATTTAGCTTGAGAAGTTTGTTCACTAAAGATGCAGAACAAGATGAAGGTATTTTACTGTGAACTTTTTTTATCTATAGTGTTACGCGCTGGGGTTCGGGATAAATAAAATTTCACCAAACTACAACTAAAAACTGTATCCACTTAAACTTAGAACTAAACTCACTTAGAACACTTAAAATATTTCACAAACACTTTTCGCTTCTTCCGCTTCGCTTCAGGTTATCTGTTCGCGGTTTCGCTTCGAGTAGTTCCGATTACTGACTGACTGCGTGCCATCCCTGCAACGCTTTTATAGCCGATACCACATCCCTAGAATTATCGAGAATATTCCACACAAGTCGAGCATTTTCGATGCGTTTTTCCGCTATTTGACAATTGGCGTTGTACTTCTCGAGTGTTCTAGGTCCTGCTAGATCCTTTGATATTCGTTCGACTATTCGGCGATAGATGGCGTTGCTCTTGCCGGCGTGACAATAATAAATTAATAGAACAAGATTTTTTTATTTTTAGAAATAAGTTTAGTAACTTAATTTTATTACTTTTAATAACCTAAAAAAACAACACTTGTTTTACAGCACCTCAACTAGAAACAGAATATATACCGCTTGATGTTCCAAAGAAGAAAAAAGGGAATCCTTTAGACCCTGGAGAAAAGAATCCATTTATTTATGATTCATCAGATTCGGAACACGAAGAAGAGGTGAACGAGAAGGAAACTGAGTCATTGCCTGTGCCCACAGAAGCTAAAGCTGTTTGGAAAGAAAATCTATTCTTCACAGAGCAAGATCAACGACTGCTAGGTACCAATATGAGATTAAATATTTTATAATACCTTTTTATCTATGATATAAATATATGATGTTCCAGAAATCGAAAACAATCACTACTTGCTACTTTAAAATATAAGCAGAAAAAAATACTAATTTGTAAACCTAAGTTGTCTTTTATTACTTTCATAATTCGTCTCATAGGTACCAATTTTGTTTACATTGTTTTTTAAATAGCGTTAAAAAGAAGGACAACACTATAGAAAGGAACTAGGTACATTATCGTATTTTCTCAATACACAAAAGGTTTGAAAATATTAATTTGAACTATTCTTTCATTGATCAATTTTTTTTCATTGATGTGATGTTGATCACATAAGCCTGTGCATCATTTTAAATTAAACCATTAATTATATTTCTTTGTATTAAACTTTGTCATTTGTATAGAAAAATAAAGTGAAATACTGGAATGAACCGTTGATCGATCGGTGTTGGCGGATAATCAGTGCAGTAGTACCGATTGATTTGCTACTGTTAACCATTTCCAAGCTTCGAATTTGTCTTTCCATTTACTTGTTTCCTTAATTTTGGTTTATGTTTTGAATATTTTTTTATTACTAAGCTTTAGCACGTTTCTGCAAAACCTTGCCTAATATAAGTCCAGCGACTGTAACTACTTTCACATACCTACCATATAACGGTCGTCTGGTGTAGTGGTAAGTGACATGGTCACTACACGAGGGGGTAGCGGCTTCTAATCCCGGCAAGGGAAGATATAAAAATATAAAAATGTCTTTTCCAGGGTTATGGATGCTTATTAAAATATATGTATGGGTATAATAAAAATCTTACATTTATTTCCGTTATCTGGTACCTGTAACACAAGCTCTTTACGAACTTACCACGGGACCAGTTAACGAGGCGTGATTGATGCAGCCCATGTGATATGGAATTTCGAAACGGTCGTAGTTTACAAAAACCACAACACTTCTGAAGTATCATGAGTGGACTAATGATGGAATAATGGATATGCTAATTAAAACGCCTAACGGTTTTAACGGGTGTTCAGGAAACCGGCAGAACCGTGGCACTTTATACTGGTGGTAGGACCTCTTGTGAGTCCGCACGGGTAGGTACCACCGCCCTGCCTATTTCTGCCGTGAAGCAGTAAGCGTTTCGGCTTGAAGGGTGGGGCAGCCGTTGTAACTATAATTGAGACCTTAGAACTTATATCTCAAGGTGGGTGGCGCATTTACGTTGTAGATGTCTATGGGCTCCAGTAACCACTTAACACCAGGTNGGACTTAAATATAAGGTTTACAATTGTATGGATAATGCCTGTTTCTGTTTCATTCATCACATGATATCACTATCGTGCGCTCACTCACTCTGGCCGATTCGATACGAACCAAACGAATATTGCTGATATTAACGAATCGGTACGATATGCCGATGCGCATCACATCGAGCAATATCGTGTATCGGCTGATATCGAAATATAAATTTCGATTCACGAATCGGTACGATATGCCGCGATGCCGATGCGCATCACATCGAGCAATATCGTGTATCGGCTGATATCGATATATAGATTTCGTGCGGGGCGATATCGGATTCAACGATATTGCTGCGATATATAGATATTGAATCTATATACGATTTATATCACCCACTCCTACATCATGCCATCTTAAATAAGGTGAAAGTATAAATAATAATTGTCATTGTCATTTCTCATTGTTTACATAGTTTTTTTTTATTGCTTAGATGGGTGGACGAGCTCACAGCCCATCTGGCGTTAAGTGGTTACTGGAGCCCATAGACGTCTACAACGTAAATGCGCCACCCACCAAAAATCATACAACTGCTTCAATAAAAATAAAAATAGGTTGGACGATTCCTTACCTTTGCTGACGCAAAATAAGTTTTGCAGCAGCACACAATATAGGTAAACAAGCTTAGTCAGGATAAGATATCTTTTAGCTTACAATTCTTCTCGAACTAATGACCAATTTATTTTAGGCCAAAATTAGGAATGTTGAGATTTGATCCTCTTCAACCAAGTCACGCAAAATTTTTAATGCAGCAAGCCGAAGATGTAAAAACTGAACCAGTGAATAAAAAAAAAAAGAAAAAGGACAAGCTGAATGAGAATCAAAATAAACAAGAACATTTAGAACAATCACAAGAGAACAAGATAGAAGTGTCCAAGGAAACCTTCTATAAAGTCAGCGAAACACTGAAAGAGACTATTGCACAACCTAAAACATTTAGCTTGAGAAGTTTGTTCACTAAAGATGCAGAACAAGATGAAGGTATTTTACTGTGTTTTTTTTTTTATCTATAGTGTTACGCGCTGGGGTTTGGGATAAATAAAATTTCACCAAAGTACAACTAAAAACTGTATTCACTTAAACTTAGAACTAAACTCACTTAGAACACTTAAAACATTTCACAAACACTATAAAATTCTCAATTCGCTTCTTCCGCTTCGCTTCAGGTTATCCGTTCGCGGTTTCTCTTCGAGTAGTTCCGATTACTGACTGACTGCGTGCCATCCCTGCAACGCTTTTATAGCCGATACCACATCCCTAGAATTATCGAGAATATTTCACACAAGTCGAGCATTTTCGATGCGTTTTTTCCGCTATTTGACAATAGATGGCGTTGTACTTCTAGAGTGTTCTGGGTCCTACTAGATCCTTTGATATTCTTTCGACTATTCGGCGATAGATGGCGTTACTCTTGCCGGCGTAACAATAGTAAATTAATAGAACAAGATTTTTTTATTTTTAGAAATAAGTTTACTAACTTAATTTTATTACTTTTAATAACCTAAAAAACAACACTTGTTTTACAGCACCTCAACAAGAAACAGAATATATACCACTGGATGTTCCAAAGAAGAAAAAAGGGAATCCTTTAGACCCTGGAGAAAAGAATCCATTTATTTATGATTCATCAGATTCGGAACACGAAGAAGAGGTGAACGAGAAGGAAACTGAGTCATTGCCTGTGCCCACAGAAGCTAAAGCTGTTTGGAAAGAAAATCTATTCTTCACAAAGCAAGATCAACGACTGCTAGGTACCAATATGAGATTAAATATAATACCTTTTTATCTATGATATAAATATATGATGTTCCAGAAATCGAAAACAATCACTACTTGCTACTTTAATATAAGCAGAAAACAATACTAATTTGTAAACCTAATTTTTTTTTTATTACTTTCATAATTCGTCTCATAGGTCCCAATTTTGTTTACATTGCTTTTTAAATAGCATTAAAAAGAAGGACAACACTATAGAAAGGAACTAGGTACATTATCGTATTTTCTCAATACACAAAAGGTTTTAAAATATAAATTTGAACTATTCTCTTTTTTCATTGATGTGATACAGTATACAGTAAGGATACAGAGTACACACAGAGGCACTTTTTTATTACTAGGCTTTAGCACTTGGCAGCAGCGTTTCTGTAAAACCTTGCGTAATGTAAGTCCAGCGACTGTGACTACTATGCACATCTACCTATAGTGTTAATTAGAATAAATGCAGCCCATGTGATATGGAATTTCGAAAAGATCGTAGTTTAAAAAAAACAAAACAATTCTGAAGTATCATGAGTGGACTAATGATGGATAATGGATATTCAAATTAAAACGCCTAACGGTTTTAACGGGTGTTCAGAACCGTGGCACTAATATATGTGGCCTGCAGTATTAACATCATCATCGTATTGCCTAAAACCGTGGTTACAATGCAAATAATTATCTTTTCAGATGGTTTGAAATTCTTTAATACAACTGGAGACACAGAAGGTCAAAAAGATAGAAGAGAGCTTAAATCATTGATGAAGAGACGAATTTACAACAAAGAGAGGAAAAATCAAATGTTCCACAAGAAAATTGGTGGTAGAAGAAAAACTATGAAGAAATCCTATAGAAAAAAAAACTAGGGACCAAGTGTAACTCAAATAAAATTTAAAAATAAAGAAAGATAATTCTAATTAAATCAGTACTTTTTTTTTAAATACCGAAGTACTTAAACATTAAGGACCTACCTAACTTTTGAAACAAGAGCTATATAGATCTTACGACATAGATCGCTATCGGTCGGACGGCCATAGATGAGCTACAACTCGACCAAGTTAAGTTTGCAACACGCATAGATTACGTCACACTGCCGCTTAGGTACGGTCTGAAAAAAGGATTCGCTATGATTTTACAAACGTTTGTTAGATTTTACTTTGAACTTGTTGTTTTTAACAATATATTATACATAGGTACATTAGAATATAGCGATATCGGGTTTTTGTATTAAGACCAACCGGGCGTTCTTCCACTTTTTAAATTTTTATCCCAATTGCACAATAATAATTTTCCTTTATGTTCCTTTTTCAGGATTATCTTTCTCCCTTCACTGTGTATCACCTTTCCTTTCATTTTTGTTGCCCACAACAATCCTCTCGAAGTTAAAAAAAATGAACGTTAACCGTTCAGTAACAAAAGTTCAACAAAAACTTAACAAAAATAGTCCAATAATATTACAAATCTTCAACAAAAAACCTAACAAAAACAGTTAAATAATTTCAAATTCAACGGATAGGGAGACGAAAACTCGTATAACGCGTGTAAGGCGTGCTTTAAAAGCAGATAATATGTCTTTCGATTTGATTATTTCAATGTTTCTAATTGAAGAGTTCGACTTCCATAATTGAGGAGGCAATATAACAATGCGACAATCCAGGCTCTTTTTAAATGTCGCCCTGGTGCACCATGATTTTCATGGTGTCCATTACTTAACTAATACATAAATTAAGTAAAAGTCCAGGGTATAGTTTGATCTAAAAATAAAAATAAAATTTTAGACAAGAGTAAAGCTTTTTTTTTTCCTTCCTAAGCTGGTAGCCTAGAGAGGCTATTCCAGCGGAACCTTAACTAGTAGGTGAGCTCACGGGGCTCAAACCTGACGACGATGCTAACACGAACCCTAGCAAGAGTCGTGCTTCGCAGAATCTACCACCGGATCGGAAACGCGACCCACTGAGAAGATCCGGCGAGAAACTCAGTGGGCTGTGTTAATTTACTCGTCGAGCCCTTCGTCGCAAGCGACGGGTTCGACGAAAACGGTGACTGGTGCTTGAAGTACCTAGAAGCACCGTTAGTGGATCGGGAGGATCCGAGATGACGTGTTTTGGGCGACGTCGACTGCTTTCCATTCTTTCCGCAGGATCGGGAATGAGAGTAAAGCATTCCATCGTGCTTCATACGCCATTCTTAAGGGCCCAGTGACCTGTAAATCCAGTTAATTAGCAATGAGCTCATATATCTAACTTCATGCAATTATAAATAACAATGTAAAGCCATGGGGCTTGTCAAGAAAACACTTTATTGAAAGATCACAGTTGGGGAGTAGAGTAGAGTAGGTCAGACACAGTGAACATATCTATCTATTTAACATTCACATGTATACACCAAAAAGTAATAGAAAGTATAAGGCCTGAGCTTAATCGATAAACCAAGTCTTCTTGACCTAAAAAAACAAGACGCCTGGGGCATTTGTATTAAGCGTTGAGACTACGCTAGAATCCTGTAGACACACCCCAATGAAATAAATACTTAACAATTTTTTTTTAATGAATTACTTCCATGGTGTAATAACCAAAGGTAAGCACTCAACATAAGGAGGACTGTGAGATCGTCCAACAATCTTAGCAATAAAAAAGATTACATTGTACTAAATTGTGATAAATAGCACCTGTTATTATCAGATTATTGATGTTGCATAAAGGATAATATTCCTGTAGAAGTGTACATACTTGCATCAAGTGGTACAAATGTGTTCAAATCCTAGAGGCATAAGTACCTACCAATTTAATGAATAAAAATTTTATAAAAATTCTATAATTTTTATTGTAGGTTTATAGTAATTTTATCTACAATACATAGATTAGCGTTTTTTCCATGTTGGCTTCTTCCTTGCTCCAGGTTGACCAGGCTTCTTACGTTCACGCCTCCTGTGATCTCTAGTTAATAGTCCTGCCACTTGCATTTGCTGTAGCATATCTTTGTCAACAAAACTACGGAGGCCCCAAGCTATACCCCATCTAATGGCTCCAGATTGGCCGGAAGGTCCACCACCTTCTACATTACATTCCACATCCACACGGTTTTGCATACCAGTGAATATTAGCGGGAACAACACTTGTTCTCTCGACTGAACATCATCAAAATATGTGATATCTTTTTTGTTAATTGTTATTTTGCCTGTGCCTGGTGATCTTATGGTTACATCCCCTCTAGCCTTTTTCCTTAAACACTCATAAGTTGTAATATAGGCTCTTCCCTCTTCGTCATAATTAGGTTTTGGAATTTCTAAAGCAAACTTTTGTACAGCAAGGGGCTTCCTAAATTTTTCAATAAAATCTTTATATCTGTAAGAATATGGCAGTGAGACTAATCTTTCCATGACCACTTTGAAATTGTCATATTCTAAATCAGAAATCTTTTCAACTAACAACTGCTCAAGTTGATCTTTATTCACCCACATACTACCCCCGAGTTGTAAATTGCCATTTGGATCAGGAGTTGCTTTCTTTCTAATAACTTGGTCTTCATATTTGTAAAGTTGTTGTAAATGGTCGGCAGCGTCATGAAGTAGTTTAAAGAAATTTGGTTTTCCAGTATAAAACAAACAATGGTGAGGTCTTCCAGCTTCGTCGAATTCAGCGGCTTTGCGAGCGGGAAAGACGTCTTCTGGTGGCCTCATCGATGGTCGTGCGGCAGGATCGTAAATACCGCTGGGGAATAGATATTCTATAGCGCGCTCTACATCCTTTTGAGTAAACAATTCAGGATCTTCGCCCATCATATTCGCAAGATGTCGTTTTCCGATGTTATATTCAAATTGTTGTCGTTTCATAAACTCGTCATGTTCTTTTGCTCTCTCTAAATAAGCTTTCATGGCCTTACTTATCTTTTTCTTTTTGTTCAGTGTCTCCCAATCTGTTAGATCATTTAGAACATTACTGGGATCGGACGTAGTTCTAGTGCAGTACTGAAATGTTCCTATTGTTAGTGGATACCGAAAATATTTTGTTGCTGCTGGTATTATTTGCCTAATTCCTATAAGAGACATTTTTGCAGTATGCAAATTGCTGCAANAAGCTTTCATGGCCTTACTTATCTTTTTCTTTTTGTTCAGTGTCTCCCAATCTGTTAGATCATTTAGAACATTACTGGGATCGGACGTAGTTCTAGTGCAGTACTGAAATGTTCCTATTGTTAGTGGATACCGAAAATATTTTGTTGCTGCTGGTATTATTTGCCTAATTCCTATAAGAGACATTTTTGCAGTATGCAAATTGCTGCAAGTATCTTTTGTAGCATCAAAGATTTTGATAAATATATAAATTAAGTTTAATATCCCAACACATTAATTAGAATTTACATAACCTATAAAATTTAGTAATTTTTTTTCTTTGCGGTTTTTGCGACGGGCAAAGGATACCAAGCCCATACATTAGTATTTTTTTAACTCATCATAGTAAAAATGTGAACCTCGGTCTACTTGTTGGACTTGATTAGGTAATAGGTACGGTACCAATTTACCACTAGTTTATGAATGGTTTTTACGATATATGAAATGAAGAATGAATGATGAAATAGGTGTACACGATAAAAATCAAACCCATCAAAACATAATTTGCGTAGTTTCTGGTCATAGGGCCTATAAGTCCTTTAACCGTATGATTAAATATCACCACCTTACATATTTTTAATTGAGGTTTGAGAGCTTAAGTTCAAAGGCATGAAGGTGTTAATATTGTGGTGTTTGTGGGTTCCTGTAATCACAAACACCAGGAACACGATTTGCTTATAAACTGGCATTAATAAAACAATATATGCATCCTGTCTTGCTAAAATTTTGCAAGTTCGAAATAAGCAATAAAACTCATACTGTTACGCCAGTAAGAGTAACGCCATCTATCGGCGAATAGTCGAACGAATATAGCAGGATCTAGTAGCATCTAAAACGCTCGAGAGGCACAACGCCATCTATTGTTAGATAGCGGAAGCACGCATCGAAAATGCTCGACTTGCGTGGAATATTCTCGATACTTCTAGGGATGTGGTATCGGCTATAAAAGCGTTGCAGAAATAGCACGCAGTCAGTTAGTAATCGGAACTACTCGAAGCGAAACAGCGAAAGGATCACCTGAAGCGAATTGCGAATTTTAAAGTGTTGTGAAGTGTTTTAAATGTTCTAAGTGATAAATACAGTTTTAAGTTGTACTTTAGTGGAACATTTATTTATCCCGAACCCCCGCGCGTAACAATACTATTCCATAAAATTATGAACGACATGCAAAAGCTACACTACTTTTAGTCAGGCTGTTGACTTTCATAGCTATTGTAATCACATCTTCGCAGATAAAATTCTATTTTGCTTTAAATTTGTGGTTCATTTATGAAAAATATAAATGATCGTTTTTTTTTTCCGTTTATTACTTTCGTTAATTGAAATAAACTTAACATCATAATTATAAATAATTCTGGTCATAAACAATAATAATAGACATACATTGCACTCACAAAGAAAATGTTACTATACTAATCATTAGCTTATGGAATGATGATTTCTTTATTATCATTACGATATTTATGTAATATTTAAATGCGAACTTCAAATTAGACTAGGATTAACACGTGTTTACAAAACAAAACACAGGTGCACATTCATTCTTATGTAATGTTATAAGACGTATTTTGTAAAGCTTACTTAGAATTAATTTATTTGTTAATATGAGTCACTTTGGTCCTTTATCATGGACGAACCTTTGATTTTAGGTAGTAGGTATTATTTGGAAACAAACCGTAAAGAGTGATATGTCGTGTTTGATTATTTTATTCACAAAGTTTTGATGTTCAATTACAGTAGCTGGATATGTGGGAAAATGTTAATATTAAATGTGTTTAACATGTCTTGTGTGTGTGTGTTTTCAACGAGAATTCGGGATTGAAAGACAATTAAAGTAAGTATTCACAGTAGATTAATCAAGAATCAAATGAACCAAAATATAGTTATTCTTAATACATTCAAATCTATATAAAACAAATGAGCATCACAAATTTTGAGACATAAAGTGTGAGGGTATTATTAATAAAGTCACCTCACAGATCTACAATATTATAATTTCAATGAATAATTCGAACCGGAACACTGTAATAGTTCAGGAAAAGTTTTACACAAAATCATTTTTGTTACGGTCCGAATTAATATAGTAAGGTTAATGTAAAAATTACTGCGAAAACTTTCTACAGTTGAAACATAAATGGTGAAATAGACAATATTTTATGTCGCCTATAATGTTTGATGTGACAAGTGGAAGTTTCTGGTTGCAGATTTTGGTTTCATGTCTCTGATAAGGCCATTGTACTACACGAACAAAGATCACACAGTGCTGTTCACGTTCCGCAGTCCTTTAATGAGGATTTCCCGAGGACCGTTGCTACGTCGGCTCGTCCGAGGACATCAACGCTTCCGATTGTTCGTCCAATTCAGGAATATTTCTAAAGTTGCTGTAGAGAAAAGTCTTTATTAGTGCTAGGGTTGTCACACACAGGCCACAGGCCACAACCACAAAACGCCGCCACCGGAATATTTCCTGTAATTTTCATACATTTTATATGTAGCTTGTGGCGGCCGTTTTGTGGTTGTGGCTGGTGGCCCGTGTGCAGGGAGCCTTATATGTGTACATACATTTTTAAGAAAAGCGGTTCTTAGGTGCATTATTTGGTGATTGGCGGCTGTTTTTTCTCTCGTAGATGTGTAAGCTGCTCACGATTTATCAAATACGAATGCCATGACCCATTAATACGCTTTTATTAGCTTCAGACGTATGTATGTTAGTATGTAACGGAATAATTGAACAATGTTTTGACCCCCTTCAAAATGTCGGATTAACTTGAAATTTGATATACTTATTATGGACCGATAACAATACAGTATTAAAAAAAAAGAATTGGAAAAAAATGAAAAAATTGAAATTCAACTAAAAAATAGAGGCCACTCATCACTATAGAACAAAGTCGCTTTCTCTGTCCCCATATCCCTATATCCGTTGCGTAGTTTTAACGGATTTTGATGCGGTTTTTTTAATAGATAGAGTGATTGAAGAGGAAGGTTTATATGTATAATAACATTCATTAAATAGTGGAGAAATCAATAATAAATTACAGTTTCCGAAGCGAAGCGAGGGCGGGTCGCTAGTTTAAGCAATAATAATGAAAACGAGATACTGACGAGATTGGATTGGGCAGCCTCAGGCGACGTGTTAGAGCGGCGATACAAGGCGCGGGTGCGGCGGCGAGCACGCACCCCGCGGCCGTCAGCAGCGCCGCCGCCACGCGCGCAGCACCCCCCGCCTCCGCGCACACCGCCGCCGGCGCCGCGAGCCACACCACGCCGCTAGCCGCGCCGCCGCCCGTCAACGACCGACCCCTGCACGATACACATCTATACGTGAAGCAAAAACTTTGTACCCCTTTTTATACTTGAGACCTTAGAACTTATATCTCAAGATGGGTGGCGGCATTTACTTTGTAGATGTCTATCGGCTCCAGTAACTACTTAACACCAGGTGGTCTGTGAGATCGTCCACCCATCTAAGCAAAAAATATATATTTAAACTGTGCATATTCAGTATGATAGGAGGAAATAGTAGTTTGAATGAGGTGTGTTACCATATCCAGAGCGAGTCGATGAGCACAGGACCTAGCGCTGCGTCGAGTATGAGCCAGGGCCACAGCGGCGGCGAGGGCAGGGCCGCGCGCTCCACGCCCGCCGCCGCCAGCGCGCCGCCCACGCTCCACGCCGCGCCGCCTACTATGCACCCCACCACTCCTGAACGTTGCAAAAACACAATTTGAACCATAATCATATAATATATTGTAAAACCGCACGTTCCTACGCCGCCTACTATGCACCCCACCACTCCTGAACGTTGCAAAAACACAAGTTGAACCATAATCATATAATATATTGTAAAACCGCACATTCCTGCGCCGCTTATTATGCACCCACCACTCCTGAACGTTTCAGACATAAGGTTAATCATACCGTATATTGGAAACCCGCACACTCCTACCTATTTCGGCAGAGAAGTAGTCATGCGCTCCAATTTTAATGATAACACAGGCCATACATAATACACATAAATTAGTTATAGATAAAGGATAAGACGTCCGGTGCATTCGTATCGAGCGATGCACTGGTGTTCGAATCTCGCTGGCGGGTACCAATTTTTCTAATGAAATACGTACTCAACAAATGTTCACGATTGACTTCCACGGTGAAGGAATAACATCGTGCAATAAAAATCAAACCCGCAAAATTATAATTTGCGTAATTACTGGTGGTAGGACCTCTNCCGCACGTTCCTGCGCCGCCTACTATGCACCCCACCACTCCTGAACGTTGCAAAAACACAAGTTGAACCATAATCATATAACATATTGTAAAACCGCACGTTCCTGCGCCGCCTACTATGCACCCCACCACTCCTGAACGTTGCAAAAACACAAGTTGAACCATAATCATATAACATATTGTAAAACCGCACGTTCCTGCGCCGCCTACTATGCACCCCACCACTCCTGAACGTTGCAAAAACACAAGTTGAACCATAATCATATAACATATTGTAAAACCGCACGTTTCTGCGCCGCCTACTATGCACCCCACCACTCCTGAACGTTGCAAAAACACAAGTTGAACCATAATCATATAATATATTGTAAAACCGTACATTCCTGCGCCGCTTACTATGCACCCAACACTCCTGAACGTTTCAGACAAGGTTAATCATACCGTATATTGGAAACCCGCACACTCCTACCTATTTCGGCAGAGAAGTAGTCATGCGCTCCAATTTGAATGATAACACAGGCCATACATAATACACATAAATTAGTTATAGATAAGCAACTCAAGCATTTAACAAAAATGTTTACGGGCGTCGGTCACTAGTTGGCTTCGCTTCGATTACTTTCTCATTGCTCCTGTACATGGCAGTAACATATTATCTATCCTATATTTTATTTTTAATTAAGGATTTTGTAAATTTTCAGAATCCACAAATTGATAAAATTTAATCAGTTTAACAAATAAAGACTTGTATGATTTTTATTTTTTTTATTTTCTGTGTTTAGTTATACAATACCTAATTAAATGCCTCAACTTTAACAACATAAAGTTTAGGGGCATCAGCTACAAAATATCGATAGTTTCCATACAAAAAAATATAGTCTTAAAATATAGCAGTTTCAGCCCTGACACAGACATCAACCTCATAATCAGACATCAGCCTCTAAAAGCCTTTAACGGCTTATCACCAGACAGACCCTGTGATCGCGTCTTTTTTCCCCCTACCTAATCGTTGGTAGCCT